CCCCAAACGGCTCCCCAAAGCTATTCTGCAAAGCGGCTCCCGAAAGCTGCTCCCGAAAGTTGCTACTGAAAGCTGCTCCCCGACGTTGTTTGTAAAGCTGCCCCCGAAAGCTGCTCCCAAAGCTGCTGTTCTTGAAAGCAAGTGCTCCTCAAAGTTGTTCCGGAAAGCTTGCCAAAGCTGCTCCCTAAAGCGGTTCCCCGAAGCTGCTTCCCAAAGCTATTCCCCAAAATACCTCTGCAAAGCGGTTGCCCCAAAGTGGCTATGCTTCAAACCTGTTATGAAAATATGCGATTGGTTTGGTTGTGCAACTTCATTCCCCAAGCTAGCGGGCCTATGTCAGCGGCCTTTCCAATGCAAAGTCAGCGGCACCAAAAAGACACTTGTACCCACGACCAGCAGGATTGAAATATCTGTGGGCATGACGTCTTGGTGCTTGCTGCGTCAAGCAATGTTGTGCTACACTCGCCAAAATCTGATATGCATGTTTCAAATCTTATAGTGAATTCAAAAGAGCGATAGACGCATGCGGTAAATTCAAAATAACGGAGACGGAAAACGAAAGTTCCCAAAAAAGTCATAAATTTTCGACCTCCGCGCAGGAGGAAATGCAGATTGAGTTTGTATTCGTGAAAGTTCCAACATTGTGGCAAATTTTTGGGAAAATTGGGCTCGGGATGAAAGTCTCAGAATTGTGGCAGATTTTGGGGAAAATTGGCATCGGGAAACTCCGCGCGCGTGCGCCAAATTCAGAAGAAACTTTTTAAAACTCAACTGAAAAACCTACCGAGCGACAGTGGACCAGTGGGGAATCGAACCCCCGACCGACCCTGACCGACCGTACTGCATTTGCTTAGTGGGACACTGACTGGGGAGGAGAGAAGATTTCCCAAAAACCATCACTTTTATGGGAAAATCAAAATTGGATTTTCCCAAAAAAGTAGTAACATTTCGACCTCCGAGCAGGGGGCTCAGGAAGCACAGACCTAGTTTGTATTCGCACAGACTAAGTTTGTATTCGCCAATTTTCCCCAAAATTGTGGCAGATTTTTGGGAAAATTGGCTTCGGGAAACTGCGCGCGCGCTCCGTGTACAGCCAGATCGTAGTATTAGTAGTATAGTAATATATATATATATTTATATAATTATAATTATATGTATTATTTGTCTATTTTCCAATCGAATAATTCATTTAATTAATTATATCATAATATTCTTTCTTTAATTAAAGAAATATAAATGAAAACATGTATTTTCTAAATATAAATAGGTACTATCGTGAAAGATAAAATAGTTATTTAATAAGATTTTAATAAGGTAAATGTTGTTTTACGTATATAAATTCGTAGCTACGACTAAGGTGCGCCTAGGCACACCTATCCATATACTTCCATATGGAATTCCGGCTTTCAAGACAACTTTTCCAAAATTCTAAATGTGCACGTTTTTTTCGTTAGCTTACAGTAGAATTCCGGCGCCGCAACTTATGTTTGGGCATCAGGATTGCATATCACATAAATATCACATAATAATGCCGCTTGTGCAAATCACCTCCGCTTCTCAAGATCATTCTTGCCAGAATCTCATGTGCAGAGTTTTTTGTCATTTCATAGTGGAACTCTGGATTCACAAGCCATGTTTGTATAGAAGGATTGCGTATCAAAAAGCAAATCCCACTTTGCAGATCCTCATGTAACTCCGTATCCAGTTATAGAGGCGGAGAGCCGTCGGAAATTCAACGTTTGGATCCCTTCCCGTCGGAGCTCTCATGCTGGCAGAGGAGGAAGTAGGACGAAGTAAGAAGAAGGAAAAAGGAGGACTCGGAGCTTTCATTAAAATCTAGAGACCCTCACCTGGCAGGTGGGGAAAAGCCATCTAAACATAAGAAAGCCACATCGCCGGAAAAATATCACTTCCCCCCAAAAAACTCCGCATAAACAAACTATTGTTTCCTCAAATATAGGTATGTTTCCACAAAAGGCTGTGAAACCTAAACACAATGGATTTGCCAGCAGAGCTAAAACATGAGGATATCTCGACTACTGATTCTTTCTCCCCAAGCAGCTCCGGCTAGGCACGCCTTTTGGGAAATCGTCCCCGTTTATTATGTTCCTATCTTTATTATAATATTATAGACGGGGCGAATATGGGCGAATATCTTTTTTTTGCATATGGACATATCGGGAATAGTATAATTTTGTTGTAGCATTTCTTTTTCGAAAATATAACCCCTAAGGAAGCCTTGAACATAGAATTATATAAATAATTTTAGTAAAATCGAAGTGGCTGAGTGGCTGAATGGCTGCGGTGAAAAAATTCACCAACCCGCGCTCAATCAGAAATCAGAATTTCCAATTCCCACATGGGCTAGGAAGGAATATATAAATATTGATCAATATTGAATGATGCAGTCTGATACAGTATGGAATGTCTTTCTAAATCAGGATGGTGTGCACCAGCCGATTTATAAAACGACAGCTTTAAAAACTAATTATATTATATACCCAAATTACTAATATACCATGATTTTGTTTAGAAATATGGTAGGAAAATCTGCTTGTCTAGGGTCAGACCAAAGCCGATTTTTTTCACATATGTTTTGTTCATTTTGTGTCCCTTGACTTTGGGGACGAGCCGAACACGTTTTAATTGAAGCTAAACGGTGCCGGAATCTTTCGCTCAAAACTATGCAGGCAGCGATACAAAGATTGCATGAATGCGTTCGGCTTCTCGCCTCTGCTTTCTCGGTGGCATCTTCCAAATCTTCTACAGTCGACTGTGCCAGGTGTCCGATCTGATCCGAGGGCAAACCGTTCTGGGAACCCAATCGCACCCAGCTTGGTATGAAAGCGCCAGCATCGCAGTGCACCACAAGATCTGGCAAAAGCTGTCCTACTTCACCACCAAATATAAAGGCCACCGGGGCAGAAAAGTCTTGCAAAACGGCTTGCTCAAACATGGAATCGCAAGGGAGAGTCCTTCCAGATGCTGACAATTCCTGCAAGGAACAAACATGAACAAACCAAGATATTGTATGATATCGTGGTGGAGGAATCCAAACTGTAGAAACCAGAGCTCAGACCGTGCCTGTCCTTGGGGACTTGCATTAATAATAGCATACATACTGTAACTTCACTACATGTACACGTACACACACACACACACTTACATCCACACACATCCTACATTTCTAGGTTGAAATCATTCAAAGATCCAAGATGATCCAAGACATTCTCCATACATTTTTCAAGACCACCTAAGACCGAACCTCCTGGCAACATCTTGACAATAGCTTTAGAGAAGTAAAAAACATGAACCGTCATGTTCTCCGTCGTCTAGAGTCAGAGGCTGCAAGGCCTCAAGCTTTGGTGCGGACATGTTTCTAGCGTGGCCTGTAGTCACCAGGAAAAAAATCATGGAGAATGCAGAACATGAAAGGCAGAAAAGTGTGTTTCCCCTTTCGGTTTCCAAAAAAGTTGGAGCGCCTCGAACACTTCTTGATTCTCGAGCAAGAGCCGCTTAAACCCGGCTGACTTGAGCAGTTTCAAAAGGTCTAGCATCTCCTCTTTGCCATCGCCGCCTTCTAGAACGCAGAGTTGGCTTCCAAATTCCTTCGCTCAGAGGAAATGCTTGTGACTAGATTTGAATGCAGTTCCATCGCGCCGGTCTTTGCTAGGAACCATCCATCTGCTGACAGTCGGCCACTAAAACGAACAAGATGCAGCCCACGAACCCGAATGCTCACACGTATGTTAATGGTACAGATGTCAAAACACATGAATATGCAATCACGCAGAACACTTTTCTGCAATAGTTTATTTGAGCGTTGTTCAAAACTTCAATTAAAACTGAATGGAAATTATTCATCCTTGCGCGAAATCCTTGCGCCATCCTTGCGCGACCACAATGAGAGCTTGCGCACGGACAATTTTTCAAACTGAGCTTGCGCGACCTTGCGCGAAGATGAATTCCTGAGATTTGGTGCATTTTTGCTGTACATATTTCCCCTGTTACCAGTCTGCAGTGTGGAGTGTGGAGTGTAGCGTGTGGAGTGTAAAGTGTGGAGTGTGGAGTGTAAAGTGTGGAGTGTGGAGTGTAAAGTGTAGAGTGTGGAGTGTGGGGTGGAAAGTGTAGAGTGTGGAGGGTGGAGTGTGGAGTGCGGAGTGTAAAGTGTGGAGTGAGGACTGTAAAGTGTAAAGTGTGGAGTGTGGAGTGTGGAGTGTGGAGTGGACAGTGGAAAGTGTAGAGTGTGGAGTGTGGAGTGTAAAGTGAGGAGTGCGGAGTGTAAAGTGAGGAGTGCGGAGTGTAAAGTGTGGAGTGCGGAGTGTAAAGTGTAGAGTGTGGAGTGGAAAGTGTGGAGTGAGGAGTGTGGAGTGTGGAGTGTAAAGTGTAGAGTGTGGGGTGGAAAGTGTAGAGTGTGGAGCGTGGAATGTAAAGTCAGGAGTGCGGAGTGTAAAGTGTGGAGTGTAAAGTGAGGAGTGTGGAGTGTGGAGTGGAAAGTGTGGAGTGAGGAGTGTGGAGTGTGTAAAGTGTAAAGTGTGGAGTGTATAGTGTAGAGTGTGGACTTTGGAGTCAGGAGTCTAAAGTGTAAATTGTGGAGTGTGGAGTGTAAAGTGAGGAGTGTGGAGTGTGAAGTGTAAAGTGAGGAGTGTGGAGTGTAAAGTGAGGAGTGTGGAGTGTAAAGTGTGGAGTGAGGAGTGTAAAGTGTAAAGTCTGGAGTGTAAAATGTCAAGTGTGGAGTGTAGAGTGTAAAGTGTAGAGTGTAAAGTGTAGAGTGAGGAGTGTAAAGTGCGGAGTGTGGAGTGTAAAGTCTTGGGTGAGGAGTGAGGAGTGTAAAGTGCAAAGGGTAAAGTTTGGAGGGTAAAGTGTAAAGTGTGGAGTCTAAAGTGTAAATGGTGGAGTGTGGAGTGTGGAGCGTAGAGTGTGGAGTGCGGACCTTCCCCCATAGACACGGCGACGCCACAGGAAAACCAGAGACCCGAGACAAGACACATGTATGCAGAAAAACACAAATTTCGTACGAGGCTTCCTGCAATTTTAACATTTTCGACACGTTAGCAAACAGGTTCGAATGTCACAAAGCGCCATGCCTTCCACGCAAAACGACATGACAACCTGCTTGGAAACCTTCGGAAAGGAGAGGTTTTGCAGCTTTCCCCATTGACACGGCGACGCCACAGGAAAACCAGACACACGAGACGAGACACGTGGGTGCAGAAAAACAAGCATTTCGTACGAGACGTCCTCCAATTTTGATATTTTCGACACGTTATCAAACAGGTTGGAATGTCACGAAGTGCCACACCTGCCACGCAAAACGACATGACAGCCTGCTTGGACACATTCGAATAGGAGAGGTTTTCCAGCTTCCCCCATAGACACGGCGACGCCACAGGAAAACCAGCGACTCGAGCCAAGACACGTGGATGCAGAAAAACCAGCATTTCGTACGAGACTTCCTCCAATTTTCACAGTTGGCAACATGACAAAAGGACAAGTTTTGCAGCTTCCCCCATTGACACGGCGAGGCCACAGGAAAACCAGAGACCCGAGACGAGACAGGTGGAGCACCAAAACGAGCATTTCGTGCGAGACTTCCTCCAATTTTCACACTTGTAGCTTCAAAATCGACGTTTTCCTACGAGTTTCCTTAGAACCTGAAAATTTGCAACCTCAAAATCGATGTTTCGTGCGAGGCTTCCGTCAATTTTCAGCACATCGCACCAAATGCCACGCCTGCCACGGAATTTGCACCTTGTCGCCACTTGACGCAGCCCTGCCAATGCGATTTGAAATAAACACGCAACACGACACGTCTAAAGTGCTGCGCCTGCCACGAAAAATGACGATGGAATCCCGGTTTGAATTTCTACTATGGGGTCGAGAGCCCATTTTGTACCAAAGCATCAAAATTCCTAACCTCAGCCATTATAAAATGATGGTTCTCAACCCCCAGAGGATTACGGAAAATGACAACATGATACTGCTACAAAATGAAGATTGGTTTTTATCATGAGGTTACTTGAAGGGGAAATTCCACCACTACAAAATGACGATTGGTTTTTATCATCAAGTTACTTGAAGGGGACACCCCGCCACTACAAAATGAAGATTGGTTTTTATATGCTTTTATCATCAGGTTACTTGAAGGGAACACTTCAATACTACAAAATGAAGATTTGTTTTTATCATCAAGTTACTTGAAGGGGACACTCCACCACTATAAATGAAGATTGGTTTTTATATGTTTTTATCATCAGGTTACTTGAAGGGAGCACTTCCGAAGGGCAACTTCCCTTGCTACAAAATGAGATTGGGTTTTTACATGTTGTCTTCCGATGGGCAAATTCTCTTGCTACAAAATGACTTTCGATTTTTAAAGGTCTTTCAACTACCGAAACGTTGACAACTTATAAAATGCAATTCCCAAGCTGCGGGTACAAAATGCCTTGCCCATCTCCATTTTTTCATCTTAATTTATGCCTGGAAAGGCCTTGAAACGGGGCACAAGGCCTCCCATTCTGTAGTTGAAATTCGAACGGGGATACGATGGACACGTCCAAAGTGCTGCGCCTGCCACGAAAAATGCAACACGTCTTCTGAAAACGTCGCAAAAGTATTGCGCCTGCCACACAAAACGACTTTCGACACGTTACAGAACGTTGCTGAATGTCACGAAGTGCCACGCCTGCCACGCGAAACGAAGCAACCAGACGTCTGAAACCTCCAAAAATGATCCCTCCTGCAGAACTTCCCATAGGCACGGCCATACGGTCCTCACACGAACGGTTGCGAACGGTTGCGGACGGTTGCGGACGGTTGCGACCGTGAACGCAACGTCGAGCGAACACACCCTCAACCCCCAGACCCCCAGAGTGAAACGGGAACCCTTGCTACGCATTCGGGAAAATCAAGGAACATGAAACAAGATGCAGCCCACGAACCCGAATGCTCACACGTATGTTAATGGTACAGATGTCAAAACACATGGATATGCAGTCACGCACAAAACTTTTCTGCAATAGTTTATTTGAACAGTCTTGTTCATGTTCATATTTCCCCTGTTACCAGTCTGCAGTGTGGAGTGGAACGTGTGGAGTGGAACGTGTGGAGTGGAACGTGTGGAGTGTAAAATGTGGAGTGTGGAGTGTAAAGTGAGGAGTGTGGAGTGTAGAGTGCAGTGTGTGGAGTGAGGAGTGAGGAGTGTGGAGTGTGTAAAGTGTAGAGTGTGGAGTGTAAAGTGTGGAGTGTGGAGTTTCTAAGTTGTAGAGTGTGGAGTGTAGAGTGTAAAGTGTAGAGTGTAAAGTGTAGAGTGTGGAGTGTGGAGTGTAAAGTGTAGAGTGTCGAGTGTGGAGTGAGGAGTGTAAAGTGTGGAGTGTAAAGTGTAGAGTGTCGAATGTGGAGTGGAAAGTGGAAAGTGTAGAGTGTGGAGTGTAGAGTGTGGAGTGTCAAATGTAAAGTGTGGAGTGTAGAGTGTAGAGTGTAAAGTGTAGAGTGTGGAGTGTGGAGTGTAGAGTGTAAAGTGTAGAGTGTAAAGTGTAGAGTGTGGAGTGTGGAGTGTAAAGTGTAGAGTGTGGAGTGAGGACTGTAAAGTGTGGAGTGTGGAGTGTAAAGTGTAGAGTGTGGAGTGTGGAGTGGAAAGTGTAGAATGTGAAGTGCGGAGTGTGGAGTGTAAAGTGAGGAGTGTGGAGTGTAGAGTGTGGAGTGAGTGAGGAGTGTGGAGTGTGTAAAGTGTAGAGTATGGAGTGTAAAGTGTGGACTGTGGAGTGTAAAGCGTGGAGTGTGGAGTGGAGTGGAAAGTGAGGAGTGTGGAGTGTAAAGTGAGGAAGGTGGAGTGTAGAGTGTAGTGTGTGGAGTGAGGAGTGTAAAGTGTAAAGTGTGGAGTGTAAAGTGTGGAGTGGAGTGTGGAGTGTGGAGTGGAAAGTGTAGAGTGTGAAGTGTGGAGTGTGGAGTGTAAAGTGAGGAGTGTGGAGTGTAGTGTGGAGTGAGGAATGTAAAGTGTGGAGTGTAAAGTGTGGAGTGTGGGGTGTGGAGTGGAAAGTGTAGAGTGTGGAGTGTAAAGTGAGGAGTGTGGAGTCTAGAGTGAGGAGTGTGGAGTCTAGAGTGTGGAGTGAGGAGTGTGGAGTGTAAAGTGTAAAGTGTAGAGTGTGGAGTGGAAAGTGTAGAGTGTGGAGTGTAGAGTGTGGAGTGTAAAATGTAAAGTGTGGAGTGTAGAGTGTAAAGTGTAGAGTGTAAAGTGTATAGTGTGGAGTGTAGAGTGTACAGTGTAAAGTGTAGAGGGTGGAGTGAGGAGTGTAAAGTGTGAAGTGTGGAGTGTAAGGTGTGGAGTGCGGAGTGGAAAGTGTAGAGTGTGAAGTGTGGAGTGTAAAGTGAGGAGTGTGGATTTGTAAAGTGTGGAGTGTGGAGCGAGGAGTGTAGAGTGTAAAGTGTGGAGTGTAAAGTGTGGAGTGTGGAGTGGAAAGTGTAGAGCGTGGAGTGTGGGGTGTGGAGTGTAGAGTGAGGAGTGTGGAGCGTAGAGTGTGGAGTGAGGAGTGTAAAGTGTAAAGTGTGGAGTGTGGAG